TTGAACCAAACCCGACTCAAACCCGAGAATTACCCTAACCCGTTTTAACCTACGAAAACCTGAATAAAACCCGACCTATTGTTCACCTGACCCGAATGTAACCCGACTTGTTATTAACCCGACCCAAACCCGATAATAAGTATGACCCGATGTGACCCGACTTAAGCATGACCCAACCCAAACCCGACCCACATAGGTTATGGAATTAATCTGAATTGATCTAACCCGAGTTGACCCGATCCACTCTAACTCGACCCAAACTCGACCCGTTTACGCGAATTGACAGCTCTAGCTATATATATAAGAAGCTAAAAATAAAAAATCACAAATGAAAATATAAAATTAATTATACTACTTTACGCGTGATTTTGTCATATATTACTAAATTAATACTAAATTAGTAAAGATATTAATATTAATTAAATGTTTGTTTTTAATCATAAGGGGTACATATATATAGCATTACCCTAAAGATAATTATACCGTTCTTATAGTATTTTAATGTTTTTTTTATTACTGTAATATTTTTATGAAGAGTTTCATATGTTTCCCTTACGTACTGATTTTTTTTTTTAGTTTCTTTCTTATCTGATTTATTTATTTATTTATTTTTATCTCTCTCCTAATCACATAATTTGATCTTCATCATTTCATTCTTAATAAAAAAAATCTAATATATATATATAAAGGGGAGTTTTTTCCCGAGTTTTTAGAGAGCCACGTAGGATCTAATTTTCTCAGCGCGGATTATAAATCTTAGTAGTAGCCAATTAAATAAGATATTATTAATTTCTTTTAGAATTAAATAATTTAAATGCCATGTAAGCAAAATTGGCGAATGAGATTTTTAAGTTTAAATTAATTAAATATTATATATTATCTTTTAATATTAGGAATTTTATCTAAATATATAACAAATTTTAGGCTCATAAATACAAAAAAAAACATTATTTTAAAAAAATCAAACAAACCGTGCATCGCACGGGCTTCATCTATTATATGATAATTGAGAGTTGAATTTTGCATGTACTTAATTGATTAGTACGTCTAGTGATCTTCACGATAATATTATAGCTACATACAATCACTCTTTTTATATACGGACTAGTACATACAATGCAACTTTGGCAAAATATAAATAAGAATATACAAGAACAAATACACGACCCTTCCAAGTACGTCATATCTTGGAATTTGGGGAAAGCTTATTATATCCTCTTTTACTTCTTTAGTTTGTTCTTGAGTCTGATAATCTTTCGCTCCATCTATATAAAAAATAATTAAATTATTGATTAAAACTATTACTCAAATTAGTTAGAAATTGAATTTATTTTTAGCACTTGTACATTTTTAGTGCTCCGTACTTCGTATGACATACCTGAACAAATGTGTCCAATTTCTCCTTTGTATAAAAATATTCTGTTTGTATCCACTTCAATCCTTGAGAAAAACTATGATGTTTTCAAAATAAAATCATTAACTATAATATACCAAATACGTTAAATAACTCGTTTAACATACATGCATGCATGATATTTATATTATATACTCCGTAATAATTAAAAAATACTATATACTCCGTAGTAAATTAGATTAGATATATATTGATCAAATCATCGCAAATTGGACCTTTTATTATAATTATGCACTACAAATAGTACAACAATGAATTAATTCAACTTATATACTAAATGAATGTTTTATTTATTGATTTACTTACCTTTCCTTATCCTTATCTTCACAAGTAAATTGAGCACAAGCAAGTCTTACATACTCCGCCCCAATCCTATAGTTTCATATAAAAATAAGAATTACAACGTTAATACACACACACACACAAAAAAAAAAAAAAACAATATTTTAGTACGAACAAGAGTGAAAATTAATGCTTAATTTGCTAAATAAACATGCCTTAAGCTTTTCTCTTCCATGATTTGGGCATGTTCGGCTATTTTAGGAAAATCAACATTATTAGAGGCGCTGCACATAATTCATGTGTGACATGAAACAATTGATCATCAATAGAATCAGGGGACATACAGTAAACGAATACTTAAATTTTGAAAGAGTGAAAATCAACTTTCTCATATCAAAAGAGAAATAACATTATTTACGTGAAATCTATTGCATCTGATAAGAGTGCTTCCATATCATTGTAATAAGTACAAATTTGCTCAACTATGATCTCTGACTCTAATTGTGCAACTTTCTCACAAAAATTGTTACTTAAAACGCCCTGCAAACGACAAAAACAACATACGACAATCATCCTTATTAGTTCTAAATAATAAAAAAAAAGAACGTTATATATAACCACACGTGTATATATAGTAGATCTATTAAACATTAATTAGATTCAACACGATCGATATACTTAAACGTTTCTACCATGTGGCTACCTCTTTTAGCAATGATTTCAGATAGTCTTGAAGCAATTCTTGAACGATAGCCAAAGCCATACTAAATACCAGATTATTGGTGAAATTACAACTTATTAGCAATTTTGCAAATACATGAGATAGAGCCTAGAAAATATTTTTTTGTGAGCATTATTGTAGAGATATGAATATGATTATATGACAACTAAAGAACATATACTGCATCAGATAACATCTTTTGATTACAAACATAAAATAGAATCAGAAATGCTCTATAAAATTCATTTAAGGAAACATATATTGGTTTGATTTAGACTCCAAAATAAATGTGGAAGATCCAAAGTGATACTAAATTTATTTTCAGTTTGTCACAATGCGCTAAAATAATTATGATTATAAAGTTTATGGGCACACGTTAGAAATTCCCTTCACCTTTTTAATACTTTAACCACAATTTACCCCTAAAATCAGTGAAATATTGCTACTTTTCTCATTAAGTTAAGGAAGTAACAGTATATCTTGGCCAATGCAAGGAAAATGTTTCATTTCATATAAAAGTAAATTTAATGTGGGCTTCTTAGTTGTGTCAATCTCGACCCTTATGTTAAGAATTGAATAAATAAGGATCCATCCTTATAAACTTGTGAACCATTTTTCATTCTCCTCTCTTATTTCATCACTTATTTACGAAATCCATAGATTATTACGTACTATATAAGAAAATATAATAATTTTGAACCCGTACATACTTAAAATAGTGTATACAACAAATAATTATATAATTACTTGGGGTATCTTTAATGCATTATACTGTAATTTTGATAAGGTCTAAAAAATCCAAATACGAAGCATATGACTAATGCTGTCAAATTTCAAACCGAAACCGTTTAACTGCCCGAAACCGACCGACCCAAATGAGAACCGAACCGATTAAAAACCGATTTTTTTGAAACCGAAAACTGACCCGAACCGTATTTTAGTAAACCCGAAACCGAATCGACCCGAATAATGTTAAACCGTATAATAACCGAACCCGTTAACAAACCGAACCGAATATAAACCGAACTGAAAGAAAACCGAACCGAAAAAGAACCGAACCGTATCTAACCCGAAACCGGTTCCAACCCGAAACCGTTTAAACTGGCAAAAAAAACCGCTTACACCGAACCGTTAGCAAACTGCTACCCGTTTGCACCGAACCATTTAAAAACCAAACTGATTGTAAACCGAACCGTTTATGAACCAAACCGCTTCTAAATCGAACCGTTTACAAACTTTTTTATATAATTAAATGGATTTTTTTTTTTTTTGACGAGGATATAATTAAATGGATTAAATATTAGAAATCTTAGAATATTTTTTTAAAATAGCAAGGCAATTCATTCATTAAGGTCTTAAGGATAATCAGTGTTCACAAACAAGAGCAAAACAAGCAGGCTCAGGCCCTGCCTCAAACTATTAGCAACACTACTACCTCTAGTCATGTATACATTGAGGTGATGAAACCAAATGAACAAAAAGCTTGTAATATTAAGTACCAAGGCTTGGCTGAAGGCGTAATAAATAAAATTAATTCACAGAGACTATTAAGCATATGATTACATTGATTCCGTGAGTAATAATGAAATAAAGATGGGAGTGTGCTAGTGACATGAATATACTATTAGGCTATGTTTTAATTCAGATTCAACTATAATTTAGTAAACTTGAAATGGAACCGATATGAATAACGTTAAAGTGGTTAAACAATCGAAGAACCGAACCAGTTATAAACTGAACCGAAAAAGAACCGAACCAGTTATAAACTGAACCAAAAAAGAACTGAACTGTTTCTAACCCGAAACCGTTTCCAACCCGAAACTGTTTGAACCGGGATAAAAACCGTTTACAACGCACCGTTAACAAACCGCAACCCGTCTGCACCAAACCGTTTACTACCGGGACTGTTTACAACCCGAACCGAATTAAAACGCTTAAGAATAAACCGAATCGAACCGATAACTATTTAAACCGAACCAAAACCGACCCGTGAGACAATTAAACCGATTCCAAATCGACCCGATTAAATACCGAACCGATTTCAAACCGAACCGAAACCGAACTGTTAAACCGTTTTGACAGTGCTACATATGACTATATGAGCAGGTTCACCTAATTACTGTTGACTTAGATACCAAAGAATTTGAGGCCTAATTTCAGGTCATGATCCAAACTATTACTTCGTACTATTTTTTGAATCTATTTTGAAATTTTTTTGCCTGCAACTAAAATTTAATTAAACCATGTAAAAGCTAATATTCAAGGTGCCTTACATTGCAACAATACTACTGACTTATTAAATTTTATTCAAGTATATAACATTGATCAATCACCATTAGTATATGTTATACAGATAATATAATGTGGAGAATTACCAGAAAATGAGTACAAAGTATAATTAACTAATTTTAGTATGACTTTGGCCTAACAAAATTTGGCCTGAATATCAGATAAACTCCTTAACTAAGTTGGTACACTCCCATTAGAGTGTTACTTCAACTCGAACAAGTGACAATGTTCATAGCAAGCTTATGTTATAAAAGGAAACATGGAGGAGAACATCCTTAAAACACACATCAAAACTAGAGTAATCAATCCAAGAAAATGAAGGGAGTAACATTGGTGGTCATAGTAGTTGTCTTCATCCTTGCCTCAGCGTTTGCTGAGGCAGGTCCTCCGAAACACAAGCCTAAGAAAGTGAGGTGCAATAACAAGTACTCCCCTTGTTATAAAAAAGATCTGTTTTGTCCTGCTTCGTGCCCTCGGACTTGTTCAGTTAATTGTAACAGTTGTCAGGCTGTCTGTGGACCTGTGCCACCACTTCCGCCTCCACCACCTAAGGTACAGAAGCCTAAGAAAGTGGAATGCAAGGACAAGAAGTTCCCTTCTTGCCACAACAAGCCTCTTTTCTGTCCTGCTTCTTGTCCGCGTAGTTGTAGTGTTGATTGTGCAACCTGTCAGCCTGTTTGTCATGCTGTCAAATCACCGCCTTTGTCTAGCCCCAAGCGTGTTAGGTGTATGAACAAGAAGTATCCGGCGTGCTATTACAGGGAGTTCACTTGCCCTGCTGCATGCCCTCAGACCTGTCAGGTTGACAGTGTCACTTGCAGTCCTGTTTGCAGTAAGCTAGCTCATCTCATTTTCCTTACTGTCTAATTCTTCCTTAAACTTACAGAAATACAGCATTGCCATTAGTAGTTGCACATTGTGAATAAGAGTTGCAGGCTTTAAAAGCATCCGAATTAGGACAAAAACATCATGAAACACCTAAAACTTTCAATGAAATTAGTCCTTTGATTATAAATTAATCAGCTAACATCAATGTATGTAACATACAGTAAATCGAGTCCTAGTGTGCAGTGTCTAAACAAAGTTACTAAATTCTCGATTTGCATCAAATGCAGACTGCAACAAACCCGGAGCAGTGTGTGAGGATCCAAGATTCATCGGAGCAGATGGCATAACATTCTACTTCCATGGAAAGAAAGACCAAGATTTCTGCCTTGTTACTGACTCCAATCTCCACATCAACGCTCACTTCATAGGCAAGCGCGATTCCAACGTGGGAAGGGACTTCACTTGGGTGCAGTCCTTAGGAATCCTGTTTGACAACCACAAACTCTACATAGGAGCTCAGAAAACTGCCACTTGGAACGATGTCCTAGACCGTCTCTCACTTTCCTACGATGACCACCCCATCACCCTACTAGAGACCGAGGGTGCAAGCTGGAAATCCAAATCTGGTGGTGTTACAATCACAAGGTCTAAACCCACAAACGCGGTTGAGGTAGAGGCAGAGGGCAAGTTCAAAATCAAGGCCGTGGTTGTCCCAATAACGGATAAGGATTCATTGATACACAAGTATGGGATAACCCCCCAAGAGGACTGTTTTGCACACCTTGACTTAAGCTTCAAGTTTAACTCCTTAAGTGATGAAGTAAATGGAGTGTTAGGCCAAACCTATGGAAGCAACTACACGAGTCGAGTTAAGATGGGAGTAGCTAATCCTGTCCTTGGAGGTGATAAGGAATTCCATTCCTCAAGCATGTTTGCTACTGATTGCGCCGTTGCACGGTTCAATGGTAATGGAGATGAGAATGAGGTTCGTTCTTATCAAGGAATTGAGTTTGCTGATCTTAACTGTGCTTCTGGCATAAGTGGCAGCGGAGTCGTCTGCAAGCGCTGATAAAGTTCAATTCTTAAACACTTATTTATTAATTAATTTCATTACAATATATATCAAAATGTTGTTATATTGTGTGATTGTTTGTTGTATTAGATCATGTTATTTTCACTTATAATTTCATTATCAATTGATGTACACAGTACACCATTATAAAATAAAGCTACTTGTATAAAATTTTAAGTTTGTTACTTGCTCTGTATCACTGTATGTTTTTAATTTCTTAGTAACAGCCTCTGAAGTCTGAAATGGTTCTAATAATGGACCGCCCCATGCATAGCCCCGGCCCCATATGACCATATCACAAGTCAGGTGGTTACCGCGGTTCAAGTATCTGATGTATGGAGCCCCGACCCAAGCGACCTTGAGAGGTTAAATGTCTAATAAGAATGCCTAATGAATAGTTAAGCTATTTAATTAGCTCAAATTACTTGGTGGCGAGTTTATTAAAAGACCAAAGTACGAGTACTACGTGTATGTTTTCTCTAAGAATATGTATTTCTAAAGAATTTGTTTTCCACCTATATTTCTATAATTCTATGTACTATTCCACTAGCAAATAATTTTTTTTATTTTTTATATTTTATGATTCTAGAATTTATATCCGTATTCGTTTCCATGCAACCTAATTTAGACCGTTAATTTTTTTAAACAAAAAGTCAAGCTAAGGCCTAAGGGTAACCTATGTCCTTAACCTTAGGTTACAAGTCTACAACCATGCATACACTAATTAAAGAAATTAAATATGACTTGTCATGAACGTTGAAATTAAACACTTCATAAACATTGTAAAACAACATATATGAAATATTTTCCCACTTGAACATGAACTGGATCGAAAGCCATGCATGGACGGCTTACTTCTTTTATAGTTTTATTTAGTTTATTTACGATTTAATTGATTCTACCAATAATAGTTGACTTAGCTTGCAAATGTTTAAGGGTCTAGGCTTCATTATATTTCAAGCCATTGACTAAAACAATGGATTTTACTCACATTAATTATTACGGGCTTCTAAATATGAAAGTAGAACTTGTTTTTCACATACATTAACAACCGTATAAAAAAATATTTCACATTTTATGTTGTACTGATGGTATAATTGAAGTACTACCTTCGTTTTTTTTAGTTGCGTTTTGAATTTAGCATTATTTATACAATTTTCTTTGACCGTATTTTGTAATTTATATGTAATAAAAAAAAAAGTCATGCGAAATCTAGTCATATTTGCCGCGATATATATTTCTACCAATCATTTTTTTTATTTATAATTTTTACTTAATTATTGGTATTCAAAGATATTAATGATTGAATTTGTGCATTATCAAACTGAATAAATTAAGAAATTTGTCAACTAAAAATGAAATAAATGGAGGAAGTATATATGTACTAATAAATTGATCGTGTGATGTAGAATAGGAGAGCCTATGAAAATTTGATTGCTATCTAGAATATCTAAGAAAAATTTGGCAACTAATTAAGGCCACAGCTATGTCAGTTTAGTCCATCTTAAACTATGATTAACTAAAAACAAACTTAATATAAACTTAATTATATATTTCAATTCGTAAATTGAGTCACATTGTAGGTTAACCTATGGTACATGACATTCACATAACCTTGCAGTTGATGACTTTCATAATAAACACCATACACTATAATACGGTAATTAATTAACCGTATGTCTCTCGCCTATAGTTCAATCTAAGTAACGTAAAATATAATCTAGCTATCAACACACTACTAGCATTAGTTTATATAATCTCTCCTCCTTAATTTGATGGGAGTACTAAAATCCCAAATGTAATAAGGTACTTAAAAAATGTTGTAATTTCATGTACTCGGTATTCTCTTGTGAAAATTTTGTTATGATGCTTAATTTTACAGGACGAATACTCCAAAGTCAAAACATATTCAAACATTTTAATTTTAGTTTTTTTCAGATCTCTTATTAATGATACCAAAACTTATTATGTATGAGTGAGTTTTCGAAAAAGAAAAAATTATATGAGTAAAAAATAACTGAAAAATGATCAGCTTTGTTTCTATACGCAATACTATTATGTACAACTTCAGAAAACTAATTAAGATACAATTTAGTTTTAAAAAAAATGAAGCTGAAAGGAAGGCCATCTCCATGTGAAAACTAGAGTAGAATACCATTAAAGGAACGCCATTTACAGAATATTACTTCTACTTAAAAACAACATTAAAAATTAAGATATGCATCTTATTAACTCCACTATAAAAGGAAACATACAAGTATTGGAATTCTCATTACCAAAACATTAATCTGTATCTTAAACACCTTCCCTTCTAATTATTTTCAATAATCAGTTACTAAAAACCTCCGCGAAAATGAAGCTTTCGCGGACTAGAGTGATGGCTGTCATCCTCCTCCTTGTCTTGGCTGTGGCCGAGGCAGCAGCCGTTGATTACACTTCCCCTAGTGATACAACTACTACCAGTCCTTCCACTCCCACCAAGGAGCCTAAGGATTCCAATGTCTCATCCAAAGAACCAAAAGAGCCCAAAGATAAGGAACCTAAGGAACCCAAGGAGCCTAAAGGGCCGGGGGGTACTCCACCTTATACCCCTCCATCACCACCCACGCCCACCCCGTCTCCACCAACACCCACTCCATCGCCACCAACACCTACCCCGTCACCACCCACTCCCACCTCGTCACCACCAACACCCACCCGGTCACCACCCACTCCCACCCCATCGCCACCCACTCCCACCCCGTCACCACCAACACCCACCCCGTCACCACCCACTCCCACCCCATCGCCACCAACACCCACCCCGTCACCACCCACTCCCACCCCGTCACCACCAACACCCACCCCATCACCACCCACTCCAACCCCATCACCACCCACTCCCACCCCGTCACCACCAACACCCACCCCGCCTTCATCCTCTAATCCTAAGCAAGTAAGGTGCATGGACAGGTACTATTCATCTTGCTACTATAGGCAGTTTACTTGTCCAGCTGCATGTGCTGATACTTGCCAAGTTGACTGTGTTACTTGTAGTCCTGTTTGTGGTAAGTTTCAATCTTATACTCCTCTACTCTATTTATTATTCAATTCGTTGATCATGTATTAATATACGAACTAGCTTTTAAAATTTGTACATTTTATTTTCAAAATTAAGCATTCCAAACCTGTCTAATGATAATGTTCCACACCTTCTAGTTGCATTTTAGTCTTAAGAAAAAAACAAAATAAAATAACCTTGCATGGATAATTTGCAATTTTTTTTCCATAGAAATATAGAATTACGTAAATTTTACCATAAATATGAACCAAAATTTAAGAGTAATAATTCATCTAGATTTTGGCAAATAATACTCCGTATAAGGCTTGATACACATACAACTATTGTATGTTGTCCCTATATACAACAACATTAGAAATTTGACACATCAACAGAAAATGGGAATAAATTAGGAGTCAAATATAAATTAAATTTAATAGAACTTGTGCCTATTATTTTAACTAATAGAAACATGACAGATTAAAGTTGTATATAGAGGGCCACATACAACAATTGTATGTGTAGCCTTTATCGGCTACATAACAACTTTATCAAAAAGTCTAGATTCTAATAATTTGGATGGTACACATACAGATTGCAACAAGCCAGGTGCAGTGTGCCAAGACCCAAGGTTCGTAGGAGCTGATGGAATTACCTTTTACTTCCACGGTAAGAAAGACCAACACTTTTGTCTAGTCTCCGACTCTAACCTCCACATCAACGCTCATTTCATCGGAAAGCGAACCGCCAACATGGGAAGAGACTTCACCTGGGTCCAAGCCCTAGGTCTCCTCTTCAACAACCACAAGATCTACCTCGGTGCCCAAAAGACCGCCACATGGAACGATGCCATTGACCGTATCTCCCTCTCCTTTGACGGCCAACCCATTGACCTCCCAGAGGAGGAAGGTGCCAGCTGGCAATCACCAGCTGGGGATGTTTCCATCACCAGAGCTAGGGCTACAAACGCGGTAGTGATAGAGGCCGAGGGTAACTTCAAGATCAAGGCAGTAGTTGTCCCAATCACCGAAAAAGATTCCTTGATCCACAAGTATGGTGTAACCCAAGAAGATTGTTTAGCTCATCTTGACTTGAGCTTCAAGTTTAAGTCATTGAGTAGACAAGTCAACGGTGTCTTAGGTCAAACTTATGCGAGTAACTACGTGAGTAGGGTTAAGATGGGCGTTGCAATGCCGGTCCTAGGAGGCGAAAGGGAGTTCCATTCATCCTCTATTTTCGCTACCGATTGCGCCGTAGCTAGGTTCAATGGAAATGGGATTGAGAGCTCTGAGGAGAGTATTGAGTTTGCTGATCTTAACTGTGCTTCTGGTTTCAGTGGACGTGGTGTTGTTTGCAAGCGTTGATGCATGAATTAAACTAACTTAAGAGTAGTATATAAGTTATTACTCATTTAATTATTATCTATTTCTACTTCTTTAATTATTTGATTACCAAGGAATCATGTTTAATTTGTATGTGGCATATTTATACTTTGATCAATTATTTGATTGTACAATAAAGAAAATTGTGAGCCTTGTAATGTGTAATTATGACCACTGACCACTGTTTTATTATTAATAATAAATTTTCAGTGTATGTTAGTTTAATAAATAAGTGAAAAAATTAAAAATGGAACATAATTAAAAATTTACGTATGAGGACGGAGGACAGATAATGATTCAAGTCATAGTAGTTTATATAAGAACAAACCTTCACTTTCTGCCCACCAGCTAATTAAGCTTGATTCTTTACACTTACATTCCAAATTGAGTCGGATTTTAATTTACAATTTATAGTTATTTATTAAAAATTTGTAATAATACGAATCTAATAAGATCAAACTTAATAATATGTTTCCTTATATATACACACATGATCAAATTTAATATGCAACTCAAAAAAGGGGTAGTATTAGCTTATTGCTATATAACTACGTTTGTTCTAAATTTATTTAAATTTCTCACCAATATTGTTTAAATTTCAACTGAAAAAAAAAAAAAAAAAATCGAGCATGTTCACAACCTTTTCAAGTCAATATTTATTATACTAAGTCTATGTCCAGTTTACCATCATTTTACTTATTTGATTTGATCTAATTATGAGACAATAAAATATGATCACAACTTCTTTTTTCTAATTTGATGTTAAATAATCCATAAGTATTAAACCAACTCTAAACAAATGAAATTTGGACCCGATGACCTCTGATAGGGATCGCCCATGCTCCAAAGTTAGTTCCCAACTACCTGTACTCTATAAATCTATAATACTCGTACACAGATTATGAGTTCGGTTTTCGGGTACCGCCCATATGTTTAATATCCATACATGGTACTTGTATTTAATTGGTCATGTGATGATTGTTCATTTGGGCCTTAGTGATAGGCTGATGCCCACGTGGGTCGATGTCTACATGGGCTGTAAGCCTAATTGCAACTTCGTTACTTTCACCAAATATTACATTCGTTACATATTATTTGTAATTTTAAATGATCACGCATACTTTTAGGCTAGATGAGTTTGAGAGTTGAGAGTGCAAATAAAAAGATAAAATATGAATGTATGTGATGAGGAGAGAGATAAAAACAAATGATAATTTAAAAAGAAAAGAAAACATTTATGACAAATAACGATTAGCATACATTTTCGGCAATAGTTGAACATAATACTTTTTTTTTTTTTGAACTTAGATGTTAATGATTGAAATAACAGATTGACAAGCATGAGATGAGAAATATTGTATTGAAAAAAGAAAAGATATTAATTAAAGACATAGACTTAACTTAGACAAAGATTTGAAGATATAAGTTATAATGTTCAGGAAATTTTGACAATTACCACCTTCTATTATGTCCATTTTAGCAATTACCACCTTGTATTTTTTTTTTTGAAAATTACCACCTTCTATTTTCAAAAACATCAAAAGTTACCACCTTCTCCACCACATGACATCATGTGGGCCCCACCCTTTACCTTTCCCTCCTATTTCCCCTTCCTCACTTCGATTCTCATCTCCCTTGTCTCTCTTCTCTCTCCTTCACCATTAATGGCAATCAATTCTTCCTCACCCACCTAATACTTTCTGAAAATTTACTTCCTATTGTCACATCCTCTCTCTCCCTCATAATTCTTGGTCAAAATAGTTGCTAAATTGCCCAAAATCGTACCTTGTTCCAGGCGCACTATCATAGTACAATTGGGTTGGAAACGTCATTGTTGAAGGGGGGGACCAAGCTAGGATATCTCAATTAGTTCACCAATTGAACACCCTCACCCCTAATTTGATTCACAAAACCCTAATTTCAACCAGGTAATAATTCACAATTTGTTGTCAATTAGTTCATCAATTGAACACCCTCACCCCTAAATTGATTCGCAAAACCATAATTTCAACCCTAATTTGTTGTTAATTTGATTCGCAAAATTACAATCATAAACCCTAAAACGCATTGAAAACCCCTAAATTAAAAAATTAAGATGAACAACATACCTTTCTTTTGGGAATCATTGTCATGTTGCAGCAATCACCAATAATTGTTCGTCAATTTGGATTTAGAGTAGTGAATTGAAGTGTTCTGATTTTTTGGGGGGAAAAAAAGTGAGAGGAGGGATGAGAATCGAAGAAATGGGAGGGAAAGGTAAAGGGTGGGCCCACATGACGTCATGTGGTGGAGAAGGTGGTAACTTTTGATGTTTTTGAAAATAAAAGGTGGTAATTTTCAAAAAAAAAAAAAATACAAGGTGGTAATTGCTAAAATGGACATAATAGAAGGTGGTAATTGTCAAAAATTCCAAATGATCATTAACAAATATGAAGACTTTATAAAGTAAGGTGCTGGTAGTTGGGAAAATGATGTAAATTATATTTCTCCGATTTTTTTTTGCTTGACTTGTTTCTTTTATTACACTTGTCGATACATAACTTAAACCACTAATAAAATTAATTTTCTTTAAGAAAAAATTATAAAAGTTGTATATTATGATAGTACTTCAAAATCCCACACGGTTAAAGGGGTACTGGTGAAAAGTGTAAAAGTTAAACAATGTCAAATAATAAAAAAAGAACAAAGGAAGTATTTTTCATTTTTATATTTATTTTTTAGGGGAACATAAATTAGATTATGATGCTTAAGTGAGCCATTACTCAAAAAAAAAAAAAAAAAAAAAAAAAAAAAAAAAAAAAAAAAAAAAAAGCTCAATTGAACCAAACTCCTTTAAATATATTACTGGGACACCAGCTTGCACTACATTAAATGTAAGCTGCCCAAATAAATGGAGTATTCATTATTTTTTGCAATTTGTCAATATTCACTCAATACTAATCGAGTGTATATATATCTTTTTAAAAAATAATTAAAAAATAAAAATAATAGAGTGTATTACTGTATATATAAGCACGAGTGTACTACATTTCTATTGGAGAGCCACCACAATTTCTTAAATATTTTCTCTTAATTCCTTATAGTAATTATCGATCACCTTAGTTAATATTCCTCTTAGTATTATTCAATCACCTTAATATAATAATTCATCAAAGATGGAAGCTGAAAACGGAGTTGAGTTTCTTTGCAACAAAACTCTTTTAGTCACTGGCGCCACTGGCTTCCTAGCAAAAGGTGATGACCTTAGCCTCATCTATGCAACTAAATAGCTTAGAAAGGTGATGACCTTTAGGACTCGGTCGAATGGCAAACTACAATATTTTAACATTTTTATTCGAGCTTTTTAAGAGTTTGACTTGTTCGAGTTTTAGTCATCTAAATGTATTCATTTCCATTTTGAGACTAAACTTCAGCTGAATAAGCATCCCACATAACAAAAATAGCTTAAACACGACATCTTTTACATCTTTAAATGCATATAATATAATATTTGTCTTATTGTCTATTCAAAGAATAAAGGTAAATTTGGCATACATTTAATTTGTTTGTCTTTATAATTTAATTTTTTTTTCAAAAAATTAAACAAAAATTTAATTTCGGGAAAAGTTATACAAATATGTCAAAGTTACAAAGTATCAAGTTTGAATAAGCCTTAAAAACCTATATATACTTGTAGTTGTACTCCATATATGATTAAATTTATATCATGTAAATAAAATTAAACAAGGTTTTCACAAACATTAATGATCAGTTGAACAAGGAGTAATTAATGTATTTTGCTCGTATTTTTCAATGAAATACTTTTTCTCACATCAAGTTAATCATTTATTTGATTATGTATAGATTATAGCCAAGGAATTGTTTCAAGTGCTAAGAGAAGTACATGGAGCCAAGTTCGATTCATTCATATCTAAAAAAGTTGCACCAATTGACGGGGATACATCATTGATCAATTTGGGATTAAATGACGACAATGAAATATACAAGGAAATTGACGTTATCATTCATTCGGCTGCGGTGACTAAGTTCCAAGAGAGGTAATGATTTTACATACTTATCATAATATTTCAAACATAGTCGTGACATTTTTGGTTTAGAAAGACCAACTTCATGCTAGCAAATGACGTAGATAGCCAGATAGGATTTGACAGTGTCTTATCTGACATTTTTGTGGCCTGGAGTGAAAACTAAATAAGGCCCCCTAAGACCTAACTAATGAACTCTTATTTCATAAAAAATACATCGATGAATAATTTCATGAATTTTTAACTCATGTCTTAGCATTCACTTTGTTAATGGTTATTTGCAAATTTGGAATTTTTTATATTTCACAAATAATATCCTAAAGTTGCAGATAATCGTTAACAAAGGTAGTATATAATATTTTGTTGTTATAAACTCCCTCTGTCCCTAATTGTTTGCTCCACTTTCTTTTTTAACGTGTCCCCAAAAGATTGTCCCATACTATTTTTGACATGTTTTTCCACTTGCACTCTCTCTATCTCTCTTCTCATTGATATTTGTGTCAATCCATATGCACCATTTTTTACCCAAAGTCTTAATAAAGTGAATTTATAGTTTGGGGCAAACAATTAGGGACAGAGGGAGTAATGCATTAAGCCATTAATGCATGTCAATATATAATTACGCAGGTATAATCTGTCACTAGAAATCAACACCCTTGGGGCTAAAAATGTGTTGCAATACGCAAAGACGTGCCCAAAGCTGCAGATTCTTCTTCATGTATCAACTGGTTAGAATTTCAAATCACTTTGCATTCTTTTCTAATTATTCTCTTTCTGATAACTCTATTTCCCACAATCCTTAAAAAAACTACCCCTAAACGCATTCATCTCAATTTTAGCATAATTTCTTGTATAGCTGGTAAAAGAAGTACTAATATTAGCATTATTCTTGCTAATAAGCTACTCCCTCCGTCCCTAAATTACATTTCTGATCTACTTCTAGCATTTATTTCTCACATAATAGAGAGAAGTAGGAATACAATTTAGGGACAGAGGGAGTACCGAAATAGTAAAAGAAGTACAAGTATATAGAATAGATGATAAACTTTTTGTTTCATTAGCTTATGTTTGCAGACAAAAGGCAGGGCTAATACCTGAAACCCTGTGTAAGACATTAAGTGACATAGTTGGGTTAAACATTGAAGTAGAAAAGAAGTTAGTTGATAATAAGTTGAATGATCTCGCGAGGAAGGGAGCTTCCACAAAGAAAATCCGAGATACGATGAAAAGTTTAGGCCAAAAAAGGTGAGTTCACGTTTCGATTTTTAAAACAAATTCATTACTTAGCTAAGCTAGTTAAAGAAGCAAGTATAGTGTAAGATTTGTTATGTCATTGTGACTTTGGTTAATTGTGCTTCTATACATGTAGGGCGAATATGTACGGATGGGTTAATACATACGCGTTCACAAAAGCAATGGGAGAAATGCTTATATGGGAGCACAAAGAAGATTTACCAATTGTTATTGTTCGCCCTACAATGATTGGTAGTACTTACAAAGAACCATTTCCTTGTTGGATCGAAAGTGTAGGGTAAGACTTTTTTATAACTACGATTTTATTTGCTTAGAGATTATTTGATAAAACCTAAGCTACTTTTAAAACTTCGCTTATATGATTTTAAATTATTCTCGTAAAATAAATGAAAAAAATAAGGCGAGGAAACATATAGTATGATAATCGATGTATTGAAATGGTGCTTAAATTAATTTTTCAAGTTTATTCTTCTTTGGACATATCGACGTTTTTTTGAAGTAATTAACTAATATATAATTTGTTCTATTTTCTTTATGTTGTTTTTTCACAGAAGCATAAGCATGCTTTCAATTGTATATGGCAAAGGACTAACTCATTTTACACACGCTGATAGTAACGCTATCATTGATATGGTGAGTGGAATCTTATTACGGGCGTGCCAATCACGTGAATTTTCCCTCCTTTTTTCTTAATTGGCACGTGACATGATCAACGCCGAAAAATAAATGTCAATGATGACTTTTCGACTAAGGGTAGTCTCTTACAACCTTTATCCTCTTATTAGGTAGTTTCTTACAACATTTTTTTTTATTAGGTAGTTTCTCGCAAAGAAAGTGCTTTATAAGGTAGTTTTTAGGCCATGTTTGAGCTTTGACCTAAAAACGCATTTTCGGGCTACCCAAACCCGCACTTTTTTTCTCTATTGATGGTCCGCTCTATTTATGACCAATATATTATCGAATGGATATTGGATGATTGCAGATTCCAGTTGATATGGTGGTAAATTCAATAATCATGGGAATGGTGGCAAATGCGAATAAGCCATGTTTAACAATATATCATGTGGGTTCATCTATGAGAAATCCGTTAGCTCTACATAAGTTGGTTGAAAACAATTATCGATACTTTAACAATAACCCATGGATTGATGCTCAAGGAATGCCTGTGAATATTAAGAAAGCCTTGTTGGTGAAAGGTCGACTCCATTTTTCAATGCTTTTGGTGCGGGACATCCTTAAATTAATGGTACGTATTTGTTTAATGGCAATTTTCTATGTATAATCATATCGGTTTATATCTTATGTTTGGTATGATTAGAATATTTTTTTGTTCATTTGCAACATATATAGTCTCATATAATAATATAGGGATTACTCACTTATTCTGTCAGTGTTATAAAGGTTACTCGATCTGTTGTTTAATGATTATTCCATAAGTTGATAAGTATAATAAATTAATAAATGTAGGTAGTTATACAGTGTGGCCAACTAGATTATAGTATTATACGGAGTACTTAATACCAACCACTTTTTCTTTTCTTTTTTTTTTCCTTGAAAAATGCCAACCAGTCAACCACTTTTTTTTTTAATGTCAGCCAAATTAGTTGACAACAACGTTATTTATTTCAATTGAAGATATATACTACTCCGTATCTGTAGCCATGTACTCATGTACGTAGGTGGAATACGAGTATCTTTTTAGGGATCATGGTTACGATGAAAGACTGTCTATCCATTTGTTCAGTTTGTTATACTTCGTATATGATGTCATATTACTTTCAATTTTATTACTCCATAGTAAATTGATTCTACTATTAAAACAACAGAGGTTTTTCAGTGCGGCAAGCCACATGGTGTGGCAGAGGTTATTTGTAAGGTGTTACTTGTATTTTAGGGTTACTTATATGGGTTATTTGTAAGGTGTTACTTGTATTTTAGGGTTACTTATATGGGTTATTTGTAGGGTGTTACTTGTATTATGAGGTTACTTGTATGGGTTACTTGTAGGGGTGAACATGGTCTAGTTTGGTGTGGTTTGAGTCTAAACCAAACCAAACCGCAAAATACGGTTTGGTCAATTTTCCAAACCAAATCAAACCGTAATAATGCGGTTTGGTGCGGTTTGGTTTGCGGTTTATAATTAGACGATATTTTTTCCTATAAATTGTCAAATATTAATAAAGTTCAAATAATTAGCCTAAAGGGATTAAATTCTACTACAAATTTTTAATAAAAATAACAACCAACTAATCAAGTGCTAAGTGCAACACAATAACAAATTAACAGTGGAAAAAAACATAATACATTTGTCCAAAAAAATAATTCATACTACATCACACTACATTATAGTTATACGACCTATTGAATTTTAAGTATTGATATTTGAGATTGAGTATAGAGTATAGTAGTATACTGACCGTATAGTCTTCTAATGATTTTTTATTTTTTTTATAATATATAATAACTATTTTAATTTATTTAAAAATTACATAAATATAAAAATGCGGTTTACTGGTTTACGGTTTGGTTTGATTTATAATTTTTGAAAAACTAAACCAAATCGCAAACCGTATTTCCCAAAAAATCGAAACCAAACCGTATTTTTTCAAACCGTAAACCAAACCAAACCGCTAAACTGTGTACAGCCCTAGTTACTTGTATGAGTTACTTGTAGGTGTTACTTTTATTCTGAGTAACTACTACAACCTACAAGTAACTCTAAACCAAAATCCCATACCAAACTAGTAACACCCTACAAGTAATCCCAGAGTACAAGTAACACCTACAAGTAACCCCTGACCAAAACCAGTAACACTTGTACAAGTAACCTCATGATACAAGTAACACCTACAAGTCACCCCTGACAAAACCAGTAACACTCTACAAGTAACCCTTGACCAAAACTAGTAACACCCATACAAGTAACCCCATAATACAAGTAACATCTACAAGTAACTCCTAACAAAACCAGTAACACCCTACAAGTAACCCCTGCCGCACCATGTGATCAGCCGCATTCAAAAATTTGTATTAAAACAAAGCAATATTTTCAATGAAAATGCTTAATCTTTATAGAGTATAGACACACTAATTTTGTCAATATATTATGTAGGTGTTGAAAATAGTGGATGGAGCATCATGCCATAAATTCAATGTTAATCAAGAAAAACTTGAGTTTCAAATAAAAGTGTCAGCGACAATGGCGATGGTATTTAGGCACTATTTGTTCTTTGTTGGCATGTAAGTTCAATGATTTAAAACATACATATTTGTATGTATTTTTTATCTTTGATTTTTGGTGTTGCAAAAATAAAATTCAAATACAAATTATTGAAGATAGATACTACGTATATAGTATAATCTGATTTTAGTTTATAATAAAAGTATTAATAAACTGATTTAATATTATTATTGCAGCTTTGATGACGAGAATACCGAGAAGCTAAGGAGAGCAATGAGCAAAGAAGGAATGGATGGAAAAGTTTTAAACTTTGATCCCAATTGTATTAATTGGGATGACTATCTTCTTAACAATCACATTCCAGCAACAGTCAAATACTTGTTTTGATATTTCATTTCCTTAGCTTATTACTCTCCCTTGTATGTTTAGATGATGTTGTATCATTACTCATTAGGGTAACATGTAATATTAGTATTAGTTTTCACAATATACAAAGTAATGAATTTGGTTATTATGAATTATATATGTATATGCGTGGCCATCTTCATTACACTCGTACATATGTATTATATTATAACTTTATAAGCATGTAGGGTCTGTTCTCATACGATATTTTTATTTCAGTTCAGTTTAGTTCAAATCTAATAAGTTCAGTTCAGTCAATGAGAACAAATTCGTGGACTTTAATGTACTCTATAATAAAAATTAAGGTACAACTGGTTAATTATACAATGAAATTGCTATCAAATGGGTTAGTGAACATTTTTGGTGTATGTGTTTGAGAAAGACCCATTATATTATTATTATTAATAAACAAGGAAGAGGAGAGTATAACCCATAAATATGAGTATACCAAGAAGCAAAGAAGGAATGGATGAGAAAGTTTTCAGCTTTAATCCCGATTGTATTAATTGGGATTACTATCTTGTTAACAATCACATTCCAGCAATAGTTAAATACTTTTTTTGATATTTCATTTCCTTTCTCAATCTATACTCTTTTACATGTCGATTTATTATGCATCACATGTACGTACTACGGAATAATTTTTATTTTGCCCCTTTTGCCAACAAATATAGTATGTCACCTTTGTTCTATTAGCATTTTTCCTAAAATCATTTCTAATTGTGAGACTTGATGGAGATTTTTTAGGAAAAGGAGAGTATTTTTTTACAAAAAAATACCAATAAATTAGGGTCTATTCTAATAGAATGAAATCAACTGAACTAAACTGAGCTAAACTGAACTAAAATGAATATTTTATAAGAGAAGGAAATTAGGAGCTGAACTGAACTGAAAATAAACGTATGAGAATAGACCCTTAGTATCTAAACTTAGCAGCACTAAAACACAGTTGCTAAGTTTAGATACTTAACTTTGAGTCTCATTTGATAAAAAGTGTGGGTCATTTATCAATATTATAATATATATTGTAATTTATTTTTTGAAAAACTTACAATATTGACTTGGTGGGCCATAAATTGAAAAGTGACATTAGTATACTTTAGAGACTATCACCGAGAAACTAAACTTCACATGATTTGCTAAATTGAGAAGTGAATTAGATATCGCTAATGGAGTTAAAAAAAATAACTCATTTTGCATTTCAATACTCTAAATTGAGTCTCATCAATGAAGATTGTCTAGCATCGACAACAATTATACAATTTTATTTATTTATTTATTTTATTTTTCTTGCCCAAAAAAACTTTCTTTTTTCCTTTTCTTTTTGAGACTTACAAATCGAAGTTAAGAATTTGACCCTACATACATAGCTTGTTCAAGTTTTTACGCCGAACTTATTCATTTCTGATCGAACATACATCAATCATTAAATATAACAAATGAAGTTGCAATTTGCAAATCAAATTTCAAGAAAATTAAATACATTTAACTCAAAACAGCGAATTTCTTGTCAAAGTGTCGTCATGGGAACTATTTTTCAGCAACTAAACAGGAAGGCATTATGAAAGTTGATTATTGATACGAGTAATAATCAACTAAGAAGGCCACAATTAAAGTATGCAAAAATCTTTCCATTTCAAATTAAACAATTTTTGAATTTTCAAATCTCAACTAAATTCGTAATTAATTTTTTTTTAATAGACACGTTAAACATTAATAAACACATAATTAAATATGGATTGAAATGGAAGGGAAACCCATGTCTATTCATACTCTTGCCAAAATTAGAAATTTCCATAATGCATTTTCTTAGTTTGCTAGTAATAACTTTTTAAATTACTACTCCCCCATCCCTTATTTTTTACCTCATTGCAAATATATAGGTCAAACTAATAAAACTTTTACCATAAATTCTCGCTAACCTATAGAACGCCTCATAGTATATTTTATCAATATCAAGTTTTTTGTAATTTTTACGTGTATAAAAATATACGGTTGAAGACACATCTAGGAGACCGTGAAAAGTCAAATGAAGCATAAAATAAGGGATAGAGGGAGTATTAGCAACCTAACCTTTAAACCTACTTGGGATTAACTGCATAGGATGAGTAACTTTTTTTTGGAAAAGATTATTTGATTTCAATATACTCCGTATTTAATACTCCGTGATTAAAAAGTTTGCTCTTAAACTAGTCCCACCAGCAGGTTGTTATTTTGTATGTTGCACCTATTTAGCTTGTTAAATTTTATTTGATCTATGTTGTTCTGAGTTGTTTGTATTTGGAAATCTATGTCTAACTCACATGATCCAACTCGAATTAAATCTTGATGATCAGATGTTTTTAATTTTATTTGACTTAGCTTGTATGAGTACAATGATTTAGCATGACTTACACTCGAATTAAATCTGATAATCAGATACGGTTAAATCTAACCTATATTATGTAAATACTCTAGCTATATATTGTTAGATTAGTCACGATACTAATTTTCATAGTATCAAAGTTTTATAAATATTACTACTCGTAACACATAATTAAAGATATATTATCAATTGGTTTTATGTTACAAGTCATTTTATTTACGGAGTACTAAAAAAGTTCATGTACATATTCTATATTTCAAAAGAGCTTCCTGTAAGATGTAGCTTATGAAATACGGAGTATTAATAATTTATTGAGCTATTCCGTGACATTTACTACCAGTTAGTTTTACTCCGCCTATTCCTCGTGAGAAAGGCTTCCCAATAATGATTTTATATATTACCATTTTTTTAAAAAAAAAAAGTTTTACTCCGTACTTGGTAGTTGTACTTCGTAAAAACTTGTATATGGTCTTATTTTTCTTTGATCTGATGCGTCTGACCTTGTCACATTCAAGTCATGTTATTGATAGAGTATAAAAACATATTCCTGGGCCTCAACCATAAGCTTAAGCGAATTAATCAGTTTTAAAATTTTTGGGTAGAACCTAGCCACGCAGCCAATTGTAACTTGATAAGTAACTTGATGCCGCAGCAATCCAAAAGTACTATATATATAGCATTCTAACGAATAAAATGAAGCGCTTGTACATATATATAAATCCATGTACTTATTACTCTTAAAATCTTAAATCTCAAATAGAAATACACTCTTAAATTATTGTTATCTCAAATACGCAACGTCTTTTTTCGTCTTTTGTTTTATATTTAGGTTTACAAATGGAAGTTGGAAATGGAGTTGAGTTTTTTCGCAACAAAATTATCCTAATCACCGGCGCAACTGGCTTCCTTGCAAAGGGTTACTTCCCTAATCTTGCATGCTCTCACTAAATTTTTTTTTGTTACTTTTCCTTTTTTTTTTTTATCATTATTACGTTATGGAGTAATTTGGACCATTAAACGTACAATAATCATTTAAGCATGCTTTGTACTCTGTAGTTTAAACCCAAAAAATATATTTATTCATTTATTTAATATTATATCTGTTTGGGTCCAATTTAGTCAAAATTGGGCCTGAGCACTAAATGATCCAATTAAAAGCCCAAGGTCAAGGTTCAACTCTCCAATTGCTCAAAAGTCAAAAGTCAGCCCACAAAGTAAGCCAATTGGGCTAAAGCCCAACCTCTCCAAGTATGATGAGGTATAAAAGCCCTCATATTAACACATTCAAGGGGAGAGTCATATTCCAATTCGTATGCTCATTCTTGCATTCAGAAATATTCCACAAAAGCCTCAAGCTACAAACTCTCTTGCATAGTGTCTTCCTTTTACACATTATACTGACTTTAGCATCGGAGGGGCCTTCCTCGGAAACACCCCCGAGGCTAGTTTACGTGTGTTCACTGTGCAGGAAACCTTCGGCCCAACACAACTTGGATCGAATCCAGTCTTCTCCATTTCAACGGACCTTCGGCAAGGTCCCATTGTTTTCAACCGAAACAATTTGGCGCCGTCTGTGGGGAAGACTTTCAAAAATCTTTAAGCCAAATTCCTAACCAAGATCATCTTGCAATTATCTTAGCAGCCATGGCTAAGAACCGCAAGAGCAAAAGCCTCCGTCAAGGAGCGGGCGAAAAGCCTAAAACCCCTACACCATCGCCCACGCCGGACCGGAACTCTCCCAAGGGTGCCGGCTCGGGGGGAGGATCACACAAGGAGGATTCCCTATCTCCTATAATGCATGACTCTCAATATAGGCCGGACCACTCTCGGTCTAGCAGGGGTCAGTCTGATCATAGGACATATTCAGTGTCCCGAAGCCAACCATCGGCTGCACGGCCTCATGCCCACACTCGGCCGGGGACCCCTTTGACGGGGCCCAGTTCGGAAGAGGTGGCAAGAGCGTTGGCAGTACTCATGGAGGCAATGAGGGCACAGAATATGCCACCGCCTCGTGATCGAACTCCTCCGCATACCCAGCATCAGCGGAGGAAGTTAGACCATGACGGTGGGAAGCTTCCTTCCTTCCGGGAACTGGAAGAGTGGGAGGAGGATTCTTGGAAAAATGAAAAACAGAGGAAGAAGAACTCTCAATTATTTAAAGGATCCTCATCCTCAAGACCAGCAGCGCATAAGAGCAGCAGCTCAGCTTCTCGGCCAGAATCTACTCGCCGGGAACCCGAGACTGCTCGCAGAAGCGTCCTTGACCGACTCGGCGGCCAGGAACCGAGCGTGCGTAGTCGCCTCTCGTTCCCTGCAGCCGAGGCCCAGACTTCCCAGCCAGGGACGAAAACCACTCCTACCTCTCTAAGAGGGCGGAGCGCGGTCCCTTCGGCCGGGAACAAGGGCAAGGCCATTATGCTTCCCGCTAGTTCACCATTCGAGCAATGGATACTGGAAGAGCGCGTACCCACGGTTAAAATACCGTCGCATATCACATATGACGGGACCACGGATCCGAAGGACCACGTGGCCTCGTATGAGACTCATATGCATCTTTGCCCCAGATCCGAGGCGACTTGGTGCAAATATTTCCCAACCACTCTCAAGGGGGTCGCGCAAGCGTGGATCTCCAAGGGAGTAAGGCAAGGCTCCATAACAGGTTGGGATGATCTGTCCTCCAAGTTCAGGAGCAAGTTTTCCACGGCAAACCGCCGAGAGAAGACTACCGCAGAGCTCATGGGTCTGCAACAGGGGGAAACTGAAAGCCTCCGAGACTACCTGACCCGTTTCAGTAACGAGTCATCAAGCGTCTCCCAGCTGGACCAGGGGCTAGCTGTTTTTGCAATGCAGAATGGCCTTCAGCCAGGAAAATTCCTAGACTTTATGGTCATGCATACCCCGCAGACCTTGGAGAAAGCTCTTAGTGCTTCGGATAAGTTCATCCGAGCCGAAGAATGGAATAAAGCAAAAACCCAACCTCAATCCGGGGGAGGGAAACAGAGGCAAATACCCTTGTCTGAAGGCCAAGGCCATAAGGCAAAGGGAAAATCAAAGGCCTCGGAGCCATCTTCGGCCAGCGACCTAAAGAAGGACAGGTTTGCCTCATACACAGGCAGATATGAGTCCTACACTCCTCTCTCTCTTCCACGCGCCAAAATTTACAGTGTGACGAAGGAGGAGCAGAGTTACCGAAAGCCGAGACCACTCCCAGAGTGGTATCAGCGAAAAAATAAAAATCAGTGGTGTGAGTTCCACGATTCTTCGGGCCACAACACTGAGGAGTGTATCCAGCTGAAGGACCAGATAGAAGACATGGTCCGGAAGGGATACTTGAAAAAATACATCGCGGATCACCGCGAGAAAAAAGAATCCGAAAGGTTAGCAAAGGACCCTCGGCAGGACCTTGATTTCCCTCGGAAAAACAGTAAAAAACCGGAGGGGAAATTCCCTCCGATCAATGTTATCTCGGGAGGAATATACTCTCGGAGGGAGCACAAGCGTCACCTTAGAGCTTTAACTCACCAGGTGAACAACGCTGACATTCAAGCTCCCCAGTCGCCGGTGCCGAACATGACGTTCACAGCCGCCGACTGCCGGGGGATTACGTTCCCTCACGAGGATCCGTTGGTGATCATCGCCACGGTGGCCAACCACGACGTCAGTAAGGTCCTTGTTGACGGTGGCAGCGGAGCAAACATTCTGTTCCGAAAGGCCTACAACCAAATTAAGCTGAAGCCCAAGCACCTTACGCCGGTACCCTATCCGGTATCCGGGTTCAATGGGGCTTCAACTTATCCAGATGGGAAGGTGACACTTCCTGTCACCATCGGTTGCGATGAGGCAGCCCGGAACGTCATGATTGAGTTTTTGGTCATCGACGCTCCTTCAGTGTACAACGTGATTTTGGGGAGACCCATAATTCACGAGATCCAAGGGGTCGTCTCAACTTATCATCAGCTGATGATTTATGTCTCAGACGCCGGCTTCCCCGAAAGGATACAGGGCAACCAGAAGGACGCCCGAAGGTGCAACTACCTCAAGCCATCCAGTAGTCGCCCAGATAACGACAAGGATGAGGAGGAGAAAGAAAAAGAAAGAGAGCCAAGCACAAAAAAGCCGAAAGGCCTAAGTGCTTCGGCCCAAGGATCAGTGCCCAGAGAAAAAGGTCCCGAAAGGGAAAAGGTTGACTCTTCATCTGAGCCGAAAGACTCAGAGAGCCAGCCGAAGAACACAAAGACTGGGACACCTGCTGACATTGGCAGCAGACCAGATTCTGAAGAGTCCAGTCCATCGGCAATGGACATGGACCAACAGACTGAAACAGCAGAGTTGGCCGAAGGAGATGCTGAGAAATGTGTAACAATCGGGATGGACCTTGATCCTAACACCCGTTGTGAACTTATTCAGCTCCTGCGGGATAACAGAGATGTGTTTGCTTTCTCGGCAGCTGATATGCCCGGGATAAGTTCAGACCTCATCTCCCATAACCGAAGGGTCCATGCAAGGCCTCTCAAAATTGGGGATCTTGTCCTTCGGAATGCTGCTGCAGTTCAGAAAGGCCGAATCCATGGGAAGCTCTCAGCTACATGGGAGGGACCTTATGAAATTTATGATGAGCTTCAGACAGGGACATACCGACTTCGGCAGTTGGATGGAACTGAGTTGAAGAATCACTGGAATGCTGATGTACTGAAAAAATACCATGTGTAAACCCTTCGGGGCAGAACAATCTTTGTAAGTACATTTTGAACTAATGACAGGCCTTGGAGCCGCCATTTATATAAAATTTACAACTTTTTATCCTTTCAAAATTTTCTTTGTTCTATCTACTCTTTGAGGGTTTTTTATTCAGCCTCGTCTGAAGCCTTCGCCTTCGGGTAACTGGGTTTCAGATTGCTGACAAAACCTGTCTTTTTAAAGAACACCGGTCTTTCAGCTGAAGTCAAACTTCAGTAAGACTTGTTCTCCAAAGACATGAGTCCATGGACAATTCTGGGATATTGCCTTAACTGAGCCTTGTATCCCAGAGAGCCATTATCCGAAACATTGCCTTAAGTTGGCCCTGTGTTTCGGGTATCCATTTTTCAAAGATAGACAGAAAATCAAGGATAACAGCAACAGTTGAAAATTTTTAAATCAGCCTCGTCTGAAACCTTCGCCTTCGGGTAACTGGGTTTCAGATGGCTTACAAAACTCAGTCTTTTTAAAGAACACTGGTCTTTCAGCTGAAGTCAAACTTCAGTAAGACTTGTTCTCCAAAGACATGAGTCCATGGACAATTCTGGGATATTGCCTTAACTGAGCCTTGTATCCCAGAGAGCCATTATCCGAAACATTGCCTTAAGTTGGCCCTGTGTTTCGGGTATCCATTTTTCAAAGATAGACAGAAAATCAAGGATAACAGCCTTTTTAAATCAGCCTCGTCTGAAACCTTCGCCTTCGGGTAACTGGGTTTCAGATGGCTTACAAAACTCAGTCTTTTTAAAGAACACTGGTCTTTCAGCTGAAATCAAACATCAGTAAGACCTGTTCTCCAAAGACATGAGTCCATGGACAATTCTGGGATATTGCCTTAACTGAGCCTTGTATCCCAGAGAGCCATTATCCGAAACATTGCCTTAAGTTGGCCCTGTGTTTCGAATATGCGTCTTCTTTAAGAACGCTGGTCTTTCAGCTGAAGTCAAATTTCAGTAAGACTTGTTCTAAAGAGGTTAGTCCCAGAAAGCTAATATCCCAAGCATTGCCTTCAGTTGGCCCTGTGTTTCGGATATCCAACTTTCAGACAGTCAATCTTCAGTAAGACTTGTATCCCAGAAGCATTGCCTTCAGTTGGCCCTGTGTTTCGGATATCCATTTTGAAGAAGTTCAGAAATTGCTTATTCAACTAAAGTCATACTTCAATTTCTGTGGGGGCAA